ATCAAATGCTCTTAAAGATCGAGATATATCACCAACACGTATTTTAGAAAATTGCATGAACTCAATTTTCTCTGAAACATGATTTCCTTTTGAGCAATAACAAATCCACCATTTCAAAAGATTAACCATTTCATCCTCACAAAGCATTCGACCTTTCAACTCAACTAAAACGTCTTGAAAAGTCAACTCTCTTATAAGGCCCATTGCTCGTGCTTTATCAAAAAATGTAATACATCGTTCCAAGGCAATATTTGGTACGATCGGAACTTGTTTTATGATTCCCGCTATACCTGGATCAGGAATTCGAATACAGGATATCGGAAGGACACCATTTGTTGACAAGATCGATAATTCTTGCTCAGAACAATTGAAAAATTGCGATTCTATTATTTCACCAACAAGAGAATCTGGCGTACTCTTTTGGAACGTAAAATGTGATAAAGCATGTGCTGCTCGTTTTTCAAGCCATTCGCGAACAACCTTTGTGCCTTCATCGTTGGATCTCGAGATAAAATTATAAATTTGTTCTATATTAAACATTTCATCTTCATATACAATTCTACATAATATTCCTGTTATACGTAATAATTCTTCGTTATATATAGACAGTGTCCTTTCCACCAAGTCGATTGAGTCTCGGTTCATCTAGGTAGTACAATTAAAAAATATATTAATATATAAATAAATAAAATAATGTATTTAATATTATACCATAATAAGTACATACGGTTGGAATTACGCGAGCTGCAATGTGAGAACAACATCCAGTGGTTTGATGGGTTGGAAATCCGATATATATCTTTCCTTGATCTGGAAATGAAAGTAAATCTTTAAAGACTTGATTAGAGGTATTACCCTCGGATGGGTTATCAAATTCAGGATATATTATTTGGATCGTGGTCTCCTTTGGCGGTTTCTTTCTGGTAATTCGCTTCATTTCTGTAGAAAACTTTTCATCGACATTAACATCCACATTCCCACTAATAGTTCTAAGAGATATGGATTTTGGTTCTTCCATCTGATCATCAGTAATAATATTTGTTGGGACAGGCAATCTCTGAACGCTTAATTGAACATTCCCAACATCTACTGAAGTAAGTATAAACATCTTTCGTGGAGAACATGGATCATAACTAAATGTGTTCATCATTCTCGGTCTTATAAGCTCCTTTGACAGTTGGATCACTAATTTGTTATTAAAATACACGGATATTTCTCGGAGATTTCCCGTAAATCCCTATTTTTCCCTTTTTATAATTAATATTATAATAATTATAAACGCTAAAAATCTAAATAGATTTACCAATGAATTAGCCAAGAACAGCGAAAATTTATCAACATTTGGAAACTATATAGTTTAAAAAAAATAAATATTAACGCGTCAAATATTAGGTAAATTCTATATATAATAATTATTAATCTTTTATAATAAAAAATATATATTAACAATAATATTACCTCTATAGGTTCCCTCATATCCATTAAAAATGTAGTCCAATCCTGGTAAACAGTTGGTCCTTTTCTAGAAAATAATTGATCTCTATGCCAAAAAAAGGCCATTCCTTGTTCACCAGAAACAACACTATTCGAATCAAGCTCAACGGGTTATTCACATCTTATATCAAAAAAAAAAAAAAAATTTTGAAAAAATCTTTTATAACTTACAATGGATTTTCGCAAACTGAAAACAAAGAATAAAAGCCTACGCCAAAAGCTCCTATCTATTAAATATAATTAATTTAATTCAAAGAAATAATCAACCAAAGAACGTCATACCTTTTGTTCATTAGGATTTCCTTCGGCAATTCTCTTTAAACGGTCCCAATCTTCGGACCTAAAAGCGAAACCATTATTTTTGAAAAGGATGCGTACGATTTTGTCTTCTACTATATTATTATCCGTGTCTGGATTAGCCGTTTCAAATAAAATTCGAATACTTGAAGACTTTGCATCATCTTCATTTAATAAATTATATTGTATTAATATTATTCCTATCATGTTTTAACGTGAAATCACTAAAAAAAAAAATTTAATTACCGGAATTCTGCATCAACTCCCGATATATTACAAATTCAGAAGAATATCTAAAAATTAAAAATTTGATATTTTTAAATTGTATTTCCTTGAAAAATTAATAAATTCCATACAACCTACCGAGCCAAAATGTTGTCGATCAGAAGCCTTTGGTTAACTTCGACGCGTTCCGCCACTGAACTCGAAAGAACATTTTCTCTTAAATCGTTTAGAAACATGGGAATTATTGTTGGATTTTTTTTTATTTGGGTTTTTTTTTTTTTTGAAAATTTTTTTAAAAATAATGATATTTATTGTTTTAAAAAGAATTGTCATTATTATGTCATTTAAGGTCTAATTTATTCTTATAAACTACCAGATTAACTTTAATAATTATAAATTCTTTGATATCTAATAAATCATGGACCTGATTTGAATTAAAATTTTTTTCTTTGCTTATTCGAGTCAATGTCTATGGTTAAAGTGATATAACGATAAAGCTATTTTTATAATTCTGTTGCTATCCATTGTTCTGTAAATCGTTCCTTAATTATTATTGTTTATATAATCAGTTTTCATGTGTTGATCATTTACTGCGTGTAAGTGAAAGAAATTTTTTTCACATAATTAACTTTATATATACAATCGGCAACGTTTTGAAAAAAAGATTTGATGGCAAATTGTTTTACTAATACTCTGCAAAAAAAAAATAAGAAAAATAATGTTACCATGCCTTTTTTGATAATCTAGGGATTGGAACTCTAGTGTAATTCGAATTTTCTGGACAACATACGTATATCGGTCGGGGTCTTATTTTATGAAATTTATTTCATAATGAAAGGTTTGAAAATCAATCCTAAAAATAAACCAATCAAACGCAATATTTCATTTGAAAGTAGTTTCATTTTCAGGCTTGGTAGGATATTAGCTTTAATTGGGTAATAGTTAAATTGATTATTGTTATAAATGAAGTTAGAAATGTAAAATAATAAAAATCAAATCATTCGATCATGTTTGGGTTTTTTAATTTGGGTCGATTCAAAGCACTATAATTTTTTTCTTTATTATATCAACAAATTATTATAATGATCACTTAAACTTGATTTGGTTGGTTTCTTCTTTAAATAACATGATACAAAACATATTCTTCATCCTGAGAGTCAACTATTTCATACAGAATTTCTAAGAATTGTACAAAGCTTAAGATTTCATCGTTTTCGCATGTTGTTCGTTACCATAAGCCTATTAATCGGATTAATGAAAATCGATTTAAAATCGTTATAGTTCATTAAATGATCTTGCCGAGTTTGAGATTAAAAATCATTATTACAATCGATTTCGACTTTGACCATTTTCCGAGTTTCGATTCCAATACAATAAAGAGCGGAATCTAATAAATGATCGCATGTTAAAGACAACCATTAAATTATTTTTAAAATAAATAAAAATATTACTTTTCATTTGGACTCGATTTCGCGTTTTTCATGTTTGAATTTTCTTCCCATGATTAGATTAGCTTTGGAACCTTTCTCATCTTGGGAAATTTTCGGAGCATGGGAAACGTCTCAGGCCATTTCTCTTAATTGGATTCGCCTGCAGAACATTTTCTTTTATGAAAATGTTCGTTACGTCCGCACAATATGGCGCAGTAATCGAAATTGGAGACTTTTTCTGTTTCTGTTTACATTCAAAATTAATACCGCTGCTTTTATAATAAACAGAGAGGCTTAAAAGCTTCAATTCGGTTAAAGCACTCAATTTTTTATCACTGCAGACGTTGGTAAAGTCAATTGGAAAAAATTATTAAATGCCCTTGCAATTTGTGGCTGTATATATTTTTAAAAAAAAAAATAATAATCAATATGAATTGTCAAAATTCAAAATTGTGCAATACCAGAAAATAGTATCTTACGATGCTTCCATATCAACAGAGAATAAGATGAAGCGAAGTCATTCACTGTGGAACACTGTTCAACCGAACTTGAATGATATAATTTTAATGTGATATCGAGAGAACCAGAAAATATTTCGTATTTAATCTTGGATAAATTTCCAACGTACCATTAATTCATATTCTCCAGCAGAAATGTTCATGTGATCATTAAGACATGTGTTGTACCTGTATGACTATCGACCAATAATTTGAGGAGTGACTTTTTGGTACGAAAATTCAATTTTCATAATTTCGTATATAATTTTCCCATCACTAAAATTTAGATTGCAAATTGCGAGAGACAAAAATGTGAATAGATAAATTTATTACCGTGGGTAATCATACGACTCATTGTGATGATAAACGAAAAAAAAATTTTTTATTTACCAATTCAATTTATATTGAATTGAATGGAATGGTAAATAAGAATTAAAAATAATCCCTGACCAAGTCACGTGAATTTCCTTTTTTGATTTTTATTTTGACATACATGAATTCACGAAACGGAACCTTGCGTTAAAATCAGGGTCTGGCGCGTGATATTGTGACGCCCATCTTTTGGTTATGCCAATCAATTCTAAAAATAAAAAGAATCAGAATCCAAAATTAGAACTTTTTTTTGAATACTCCTGTACTCACTCACTTCAAATGTTTTACATCCTTGAAACACGTGTGCAATTAGTTTCGTTGGGGTTCATTTATTTATTTATTCATCCTTTTTTTATTTATGGGGTCATTATTGTTATTTTGTTGTTGTTGCACACACATTTCAAAATAAAAACAAAAATGTTTTATTTTATATTATTATTATTCGTTTTACCGCGAAATTTTGTCGTCTATGCCGCGTGACATTAGAATTTTTCACGTGGAAGGACCTTCCACATGCGATTTTTTTTAAATTTTTCGGGACTAGATTTACATTTCCAATTAAATTTTTTTAATTTTTTTTTTTTTTTTTTTTTTTTTTTATTTTCATACTTTCATAATTTCTTCCCTTATTTCCAAAACGTTTAATCAACTTTTTTTTTAATAATATAATATTATCATTATTGCGATGAATTCTCAAACTCGATTGAATTCGGATTGTCTAAAACGAATATTTGAACACATATCTTATTCATCAGAATACCTTCATATAACGCATAAGACGTTACATTCATGTATTTTAGTAAGTAAACATTTTTGTGAGAATGCCATGCCAATATTATGGAGGAATCCATGGAATCCTAGCACGAATAAATTCAAGAACAATTATAATAAAAAGTTTTCCATCAGCAAGACGATTTTATCATGCCTATTGTATCATCATCAACAAGAGAACGATTTGATGGAGATTAACGAGTCGACGAATTCTACAGATGGTACAACTTTTAAACCACCTTTATTTGATTATATAAGTTATTGTAAATATGTTGATTATCAAGACATTGAGAAGATAGCTCAAACGTTATTGGATAGGAAACATGAGTTAAATATTTTTATTAAAATAAAATATAAAAAGAACACCTTGCTCGAATACATTTGGAAATTATTCATGGTAAAATGTAATAATCTAGAGTACCTCAGGTACCCAAATAATGTTAATATAAGTACTTTACCAGGATCTCAAAATTCTTTAGAATCGTTGAACGAGTTGGAATGTGAGGTCAAAAAGGATTCAAGTCATTTGAAATTAACAATAAATTATACTGGATTGGCTAAAATTTGTTTCAACTTGAAAAGAATTATCGTCAAACCTTTGGATAAGGATAACAGGGGTTTGGCTACCTTGATTAGGGCGCAGAATGGTTTGAAGGAATTAAATTTATTCACGAATCAAAATGCGGTGAAAGATTTGAGATTTATCGATCAAGCGTTATTAATTCAATCTCATTCACTTGAAACCTTAACGATTAAAGGAAATTTTTATTTTCAAAATTCTTTCCTTTCCTCTTTACATAATTTAAAACGATTACAAATTAAATTGGCCATAAATAGTAACATAAATTATTTACTGGATTCTGCCATTTTACCAAATCTTGAATTCCTATCTATTCAATTAAATTATTATGCTTTTGATTTATCTTTAGATCATTACTCTAGATTGATTTCAAGGACAAAGGGTCACCTTCGTAAATTCGAAATAATTAATGCCACGAGACCCCCGACAAGGGTACTTGGGTTACAACCTTATCTTCAATCAATAATTACCCATTGCCCTCAAATTAATAGTGTTAGAATCTGGTACATTAATGATTTTTTGAATGATTTCAAACATTTATTAATTAATGCCGAACATTTAAATTCCATTGAACTGGATTTTTTAGAAATGCATTTAAATGATTATTACACGATATTTGATGATGATGAATCGGAAAGGGAGAGGGAACATCACGCAAAACTATTATTAGATGCCCTAGCGTGTTTATCCTCGCATAATCTAAATCATTTGTATTTGCATAACCTTTGGTGGTTATTACCTCGAGAATTAAATCACTTTTTGGAATCTTGGAAAAAGAAATTGGTTCGATTGACTTTAAAACTTAAAGCCAATAGAAAGGTAGATTTGAATTCTTATTTAGACGTAATTGAAAAACACGTCAAGGCAGGCACATTAACTGACGACTCGGGTCTGTGGGTTAAAGAATTTCCATATTAGATTATAATGTAGACTTTTTTATTCTACAAATAATCCGAATCATTATGATGTGTAATTTTTTTTTTTTTATATAAATAAAAATACATATTTACTATCACAAATTAATAATTAAAAATGAGATCGCGTATCCTTTGATTTAAATAATTACTCTTTTAACAATTTTTTTTTAAATTTTTTTTTTTTTTTTTTTTTAAAAAAAAAAAATTTCACAACTCCAAAATATTTACAGTAATGTCTCACCTTCAAGATCAACATGTTTGGATCACGATGAGAAATTTGTCGTTGAGCCATTTCCCAAGGTATTTCCTATCCCGCTAGTAGCGGAAGACGGAACCACCATTGGAGGAGAAAGGTTTCCAGAAATAGTGTTCGAAAAAGAGCTTCCAATTCCATTTCCGATCCCAATCCCAATCCCAATCCCAATTCCATTTCCATTTCCACTTGAACTTCCTCCGACATTACTATTGTTAATATTGTTATTATTATTATTATTATTATTATTATTATTATTATTAATAACTTTAGCTAATAAACTATTTTTTAAAATTTGTTGCTTTAAAAATTTATCATTAAAACTTAAATATAAAACAAATCTATTAGGTAAACCACCAGGTTTTTCCATTGCCCATTTTAATTCTTTGATCTCTTCCTTCATCCAAGCCTCAATCTCATTCTCAAAATTCATTAATAAAGTATAACCAACGCCTGCATAAGGTATTAAAATATTTTTGATTTTCTCGTTAAATGGTGCTAATTCATTCATGATGATATTTGGATTTGGCGGTATTAATTTAAATATCGGTTGTTGTCTGTCGTGATAAAAAGTAATCATAATCTTCTTCTCAAATAATGACGCCACACAATACATCACCTCTTTTAACGCATATAAAAATCCATTAACATTATCTACTACCGCTTTATTTGCAAATGTTAATGGTTGCGTGGAGCTAACACTTGAAGTTTCTTCATGTAATAAAGATTCAATTAAATCCTCATCCGATTTTGTTGGAATTAAAAAAAATAATAATTCTTGTTCTAATTCCGCTCGTGTAAATGGTAAAGTTGGACAACTCGTTCCTCCAAATCCAGTCAAATTATCAATCCTTCCACCATCTACATTATTCGACGATGACGATGTTGTTGTGAAGGTTTTTGTCGTCCCTTGAACCAAATCTATGGAAGAATTAGTAACTTGATATGGTGACGAAAATTCCGGCCAATGAACTTGTCCAGTTCGATAATATTGTAAAATGTATCTAAATATATAACCATCCCGATCAAAAAAATATTCATTGACATTTGTTGGATGTAACATTTCCTTATTTCTCTCCGAAAACATGATTCCAAGTAATGTATCGGGATACGCTGTAAGCGTTGATCTAAATGTCTCATACTATCAATTTCAAGAGAAGGAAGTTAATTTTTAATTTAATGAAAAAAATTTTCATTTCTCTCCTTTTCTTGTTCTCACTTTTTTTTTTTTTTATGTTACCTTGATGCCACCAACGTTCAGAATGATTCGATCTTCAATCACGGATTTTTTAGCATCATTTACACCACCACCAATACTACTACCACCTTCATCATCACTTCTTGTGAAATTTCCTTCATAAACGGAAATGTTTTTCATCTGTTCATTTAATTCATCAGACATTTTTTTTTCCTTTCGATTACAGAGCGCAATGTTTTTTTTTTTTTTTTTAAAAAAAAAAAAAAAGAGAATGAGGCGTTAAGTACAACAATTTCATGCAATTACAATTATATTTATTTGGGAAAACGTATGACATTAAAGGAAGTACAATCACACGATCATGTGTAGTAAGCATTGAAAATCGTCATATTATTAAACAAAATGAGTTGGTGACACAAAGTAACAAAAGGACATTTCTGATGATTATCGCAGGTAATTGTCCGAACAACAAGTTTTGCTATTTTGGGAGAACACATCACTAGATGTCACAAATCATGTGTTCAAACAATTATTGGGATTTAATTAATATAAATTTTATATATTTTGCGAAAAAAAAAAATTTGAAATTGTCAATTGTTTTTTTGGAATTTCATCATTTTCCCATCATCACTGTATTATCTTTGGAAAAAAATGTCATTTTCAAAACCTACACTTTCCAGAGATTGCCTTTGGCAACTATTTGATATAATTGTAAATACATTTCAATGTAAAGAAATTCAAACAACATTATTTTCATGTTTATTAGTGAATCGACAATGGTGTGAACTTTCCATTTTATTCCTATGGAAGGATCCATTTTTCAATCCAAACTTGCATAATCAAAATAAAAAATTGCTTTGCAAAACGATCCTTTCTTGTTCATTATTAACCAATTTCACGATGTATAAAAATATGAAGAATAATTTAATTAAATCATTACCAAAATTACAAGTTCCTTTATTCAATTATGTTAATTATATACGTTATTTCAATAGCGCTGAAATCGAAATCATGGCACATTTATTATTCAACAGTGAGGAATGGAATCATCATTATTCGACTGAACATCATCATGATGTTCATTATTTGATCAATGAACTTTGGAAGATATTTGTGTATTATTGTTCACCAATTTCACTTAAAAATATTCCATACCAAATGAATATTACATTGTTGGCGAGGTCGGGATTATTCTTTTCAAAACTTACCGAATTGGAATGTGACAATTCATCGAGATATGATCAGGAATTAGTAACTTCAACTTATAAAGCTATTGCAAAGATTTGTAGGAATATTCAAAAGATCAACGTAAATAGATTTGAGGTGGATAACGAAGGTTTGGCTTATCTCATCAAGGTTCAAAACGGGTTAAAAGAGGTTAACATAGTGATGGATGAGAATAACTCGTATACCAATGTCTTTAGGGAGATAAGATCACAATCTAGATCTTTGAATCAATTATCCTTTAGCGGGATTGTGAGGTTACCAAATGAAATATTTACATCAATGTCTAATTTAAAATCACTTCATCTGAAATTGATTCATGAATGTGGGATAAGACATAAAAAGGAGTCGTATGAAGTCTTACCTTTAAATCTTATGCGTGCTTTGGAAAATGCATCTCTACCAAATCTTGAAAGGTTTAGTCTCAAGTACAATAATGATATTTCAGTTCCTTGGTTTCAACCTTTACACATTTTTCAAAAGTTAATTTCAACCACAAGAAATGGTTCATTGAGAAAGATTGATATTGAATCAAAGTTATCCATTTATCCGGATTCTCATATTCATGCTTATATGAAAACCATCACAACATTTTGTCCTTCATTAGAATTCCTTGGGATTTGTTATAAAGATATCGCTTATGAAGAATTTGAACAATTATTATTAAATTGTGATAAACTTAAAGTATTAAAATTAGAATTCATTAAAGAACCTTTAATTCAAATCGAGTATGATGATGGTGAAGGTAATAGAAGAAGATATACAAAAATTTTAGAATTATTGGCTGACCAATCCCCTGATTCTCTTCATAAATTGTATTTGAAAAATCCCTTGTATATCATAAAATATAACCTTTGGGATTTTTTGGACATGTGGAAAAATAATGGAAGAAGTCTTTTACATTTAGAATTAATCGGCATGATTGAAGTAAAGGAAGAGTATGAAGAAGTTTTTGAAAAGTTCATTAGAAAGAATATTTTATTGAAATATTCTGCTATCAAAGGAAAATCTTTTTGCAACCTCTAAAAGAAGAAGCTTTGAATCGGAAAAAAAAAATTTTGGGTATTGGATATGTTGAAATATTGAGATCAGATTTTTTTTTTTGAATAACTTGTTTTATATGAATTAAATTACTTTGGTTAATAAAGTGTTTTATATAGTTTTTTTTTTAAAAAAAAAAAAAAATGTGAGACGCGAATAATTAATTTGCATGCAACTAATAAATTTTTATCAATCTTTTAGGAGGATAAATCGTGTCGCACAAGCAACTTATTATTATTAGCGGTGATAAATTTAAAAAAATTTTTAACTTTCGCTTCATTCACATAAATCTTGTATATTATTATTATGCATTAAGTATACAGAATTCTACCGATTTGCTAAATGTGTACGATAGTGCTTTAACAAATTAATATAACTCAATCACGGTATTAATAAATCATTCCCATCGAATAAAATAACTATTATTTTCTATGAATTATCATTTTATTCTTCTTCTAACCTTGTTGATTCATGTGCAACGAATTACAAAAATACATAATAGAAACTATATCTGTATTTTTCACTATTTTATAATAAATATATAAATATTTTTAACGTTGACAAAAAAATTTAATAAAATAAGCAAATTTTATAAAAAAAAATTATAACTTTATTTAAATATTTGTTTAATTGAAACTTAAACAAATAATTTTCAAATTATTTTACAAGAATAATTTTTGAAACCTTTTTCAACCTAATCTGAACATCTTGCCTGATCAATATCTTTTTCAACGCCATTTCCATTTTCGTACATAAGAGCAAGACAATATTGTGCATTTTTTTTGGCCTTGTTCAGCAGATTTTTTTTACCAAAAGAATGCCTGAATTACATCTGTAATAATTATTTGCGGCTTTTTTTGAGTACCGATTCCATTTTCATAATAACTGCCAATTAGGAATTGTCCTATCGTTTACTTTACACACCATATCCATTTTTATAACATAATATTGTGCTTATATTTGACCTTGCCGTGAAGCATCTATAAATAATTTATACGCTTCATCATCTAATCCAATTCCAGAATATAAAAGATACCCATGTAAGAAAATAGATTTGAATCATTTTGATTCTTCGCCAATCAACAATGTCTTGTAAATTAATATTTCGAGTATTCAATTCATCAAAAATATATTGATTTCTTAATTTTACAATAACCTCTTTGCATAGTTCCTTATAAATAAGATCAACTACTTCATTAATTATACTTATAGAACTTCCCGGAGAAAATTCAAACGAAGAAACAATAAAAATATTCCCGCCGTATGTGAAAATATAGGATGGAATGCAAAGTGCTAACAATTTTTGCGAATTTGCGAGACAGAAAATTTTGGAAAAGAAGTTATAAACAAGGTGAATATTTTAATTTTTTTCTTCATGAGAGGGCGAGTAAATCCTGGAATTAGTTTGGATCAGAAAGTTGATGACAAATAATTTTTTTCTAATTATCAATAGAACTTGCGAGACAAAATTTTTTTTAGTTTGCGTAATTATTATATCAAATTTAAAAAAAATTTTAAAATTTATATTTTCTGTATAAATTGGCTAAACTTTTTCTTTTCCTTTTTATTAAAGATTAACATTTAATCCTACCGCTTGATTTTAACAATTTGCTTTATATTATCAATTTTTTGATTATACACATTTCATAACATGTCTAACAGACCACTTACAAGCAAAGAAAAACGCGCGCCCAAAGGGCGATAATTTATCGAGAAAAAATAAAAAAAAAAGAGAAAAGATACAAAAGAAGAACATGCTGCACTTCTCAAGAAATTAGAAGTATCTGGAATCGCCAGAATGAATATGGCAGAAAGGTTGCTTATAAAAGCGCCGAATTTCTTGATGCAATAAAAAATTACGAGAAGGTACCGAAGATTTACAATGGGAAAACATCCATTGGCAGTCCTTCTCCAAATCCGTTAAAATATCCCAATTTAATTATTTTGGTGGTGGGATTTCCCAATGTTAATTATATCTAATAAATTTATTTTAACATTGTTAGTGATATATTTGCGCCAATCATAGTTTGTGATTTGTGACGACGATTACTAAGACTTACAGTATATTATAGATAGTTATTTTCTTATATTTCTTTATTTTATTGATGTATTTTATATAAATATCCTGTATTTTTGCCCTGATAAATAGCAGTTTTCTACCAATATCTAATAAATCAATATATTTATCTCTTAAACTTAATCCTTTCTCATTTATAATTCATTCTTCTTTAAATTTATATCAATAAAAATAACCTAACACTTTAATTAATTAATTTGTGTTTATTTCTTTTATTGTTTAACTTTAGCTTCCTATCCCTTAGATTGTCTAGCAGGCAAATTTGCCTGCGAAATTAAAAATAATTGTTAATTTCTTTATAAAGTATTAAATATTAATTTTAGTAATAATATTACTATATAAAAAATATAATTTAATATATATTTTATCAACTTTATTAACAAAGATTTTAAGGCTTTTAAAAGGTTTTTAAAATAATTTAATTATAAAATTAAGTTTCAAAAAATTTATTATAATAATTTTTTAAAAATT